ATCGAAATTGTGTGAAAAATACACCAATACACACGGAGCGACAATCGTGCGAGAGAATTAAATATGAGCAGCATGCTTGCACACAAACAGCCATACACACAAACACACATACACACGTTCTTTCGTTCGCTCACTAACTCACTCACTCACCAAGTCCGACAGAGAATATGAACAGAGTGGTCCAAAGAGTTTTGAGTGCAAAGCAGCAGCAGCATTGATGAGCCGATCCAAGCCAAGCTGAGTAGAGCAGATCATCAAAAGAAGCCGAATCATAGTGTACCGAATTTAGTTAGGCATTAGAAGAATGTGGTGTGTATATATGCATTGCATGGCCAGGGTAATCAAACACATCATCCATCTAACGAGAGCAAATACACACAGTCAACCGATATGAATAAGCAAAACGACGATGACTTGGCTGCCATAGCAATAGAGCATAGGATTTTATCGTGAGCATCGAAAGATGTGCGAACATTTGAAATACAGAGAAGGGAATGAAAAAAAACAGGCCGTCGTTTCATTCACCAAATATCGTTCGGTATTCGTCATTTGTTTTTTCGCCGTATTCTTCTGTTTGTCTCTAGCACCGATTTTTTTTCTGTTCGTTTCTATAATAAGCTATGATATTAACTTTAGCCGTCAGCGATTTACGTTGAAAATGTATGACCAGTTATTTGGCAATGCGAAACGATATGTATATGATAAACTTATGAAATAGCTGCTGCAAAAAGCCGAAACACTTGATTACGAACATACGATATCATACGCAAAATATCGTATGATTTTTTCGCTATTTGTTTCTCCTATTCTCTTCACACCATCGGTATTGTGTGTTGAGTCAGTGTGAGTGAATCGCATGTTATTCTTACGTTTTTTTTTCTCTCTTCTTTTCTTACTCATTAATATTTTGACTCACCTATTTGGCTTTTGTGCATTTGCACGGTGTTTCTTTTTATTCATTTCATTTTAGTTTATCTTCGTTTTTTTGTTTCCCTCTTCGTTGCTGGTACGTGGAACAAACGAAACGGGATAGCAACTGCTAACCAATACCAACAGAAAAGAGAAAAGAATACACGAGTGTATGACGCGATTTAAGATATTACAAATGAGTATATTTTCTGTTGAATTTTGTGTATGTGTGTTTGTCATGACTTTGCCGCTCCATTTTACGATACATAACCATAGGGGTATTGCAACTACCATAAAATATATGTATTTCATCAAGTTTATCAAGCTCTTTCCAAGTTTATGCATAGTGTTGAACTTTTGTTCAAGCTCTACCATCGAAATGTACAGTAAAATAATTTACGGGCACGACGTAAGATGGCGTTTTTTCTGGTAAAAAAAGTTGCAATATCCCTTTGTACATAACGTGAACGATCGTACGATTTTTCGTCCTATCATTGACATTTCTACTCGAGTAGCGATTATTACGTGTCGTTTGACTTATTATTACACCGTTTGGAATTTATCGAAAAATGCCTTCGAATCGTGTGTACGTCCGTGTGGATGTGATGTGCTGCGATGCGATGGTATTTGTGCGTGTGTTTGTACGTGTGTGCGAGAGCGAGAGCGCGCGTTTGTGTATGATTCTCCGTTTATTCGGATATATATTCAGTGTGCAGTGTGCACTGTATCGTCTCGCACTGTGCGCTCCTCCAACGTGGATTTTTGGCGAATGGATTGTTCATCACATGTTTGTATGACGTCGTGGTAGTGAGAGATTACGCATGGCAATTCACAATTTTATCAGGAAAAACCACGTAGACTATACAGTCTGTTTTCATTTCGCTCTCGGTTTCGGTATGTCCACGTCGAGATTCTCTCTTATTTACGTTCACTCTCTCGCACTCTCCCGCCGCTGCCGACAAACGCACGAATAGCGCGACAATTCGTTCGCTGTTCGTGCTTGTGCTTTGGCATTTCATGTTTTCATAAGTGTAAGCTGTTTGATTGTTTGCATGTACCGAGTGTCACAACGTTTCGGTGACATTTACGGCGAATCACACTTTCTTGGCCTTATTTTTCATTGGCACTGCTATCTATTCCCACTTTCTTCGTATCTATTTGACTTTCTTATCGAATTAAAAACTATATGAAAACACGAAACTGAACCACATCTTGTTTGTTCTTTCACTCTTCCTCATTTGGCCAATTTGTAAAATTTAATTTATTTGCGGAAGAAAATTTAATGAAAGAAAATCCCTAGCAAAAACCAACTCACACAATTATTTTTTAATGATTGACGTTGACGAACATATTAAAAGAAGCATCTTATTTTACTGAGTCCGGGCGACGTAATTTATTTCGCTTGAATTATTTTGAAGAAATTCCATCATCAGAAAACTCAACATCAAAAAGTAACGAACACATTTTCATTAATAAGCCAAAAACCCATTTCGTTCATGTTCGCGCTCCGTTTCAAAAATCAACCGCAGAATTTTTTTCAAATTAACAACCAACAACGAATTGCATACTTTTCGGAGATTTTCTATCAACTTTGATTTTGCGAATGTTACTCTTTCGCTGTTCGCGTTATAAACATTTTTCAACGGATCGGTTAAGTATTTACTTACGCATTTGCAATTAAAGCAATTTTCCAAGACAAGTTTCAAACGATTCAGCTGAAATGCAATTTAATCCTCATTTTCATTTAACAAAACAGTTAATAACACTCAGGCATTATCTTGAGCGCGAGCAAATTTTACATGAATGTATCTATGTCTGTGTGTGTGTGCTGTACAAGGTAAAAAGTTATGCGTACGATGTAAAACTTGGTACGAAAAAGACAAACCATGACATGTATGCATCAGCAGCAGCAGCAGCAGAAGTATCATCGTCATCACATGAACTGGAATGTAATTGCAATATGTATAACGTAGCCCAAGCGCATTTATGAAAAGTTCTTAATGAGCATAATTGCCATACAACAGGAAGAAATAAAAGCGCAACTTGAATATGAAACAGTTTAATAATTGAATTTAATTTGTTTTCAGCGTCTTAACAACGCGCGCGTTTTTTGGATCAACTAAAATATAGATTGAAATCCCCGATTATAAAATTTATGTATATATTTGAAAAATTGTCGAATGCCAAAACTTGGGATCGTCGTCGGAAAATGTATGCCCAATATGGTGCAATGCACACGCTAAAAATCAAGCAATTTTCTGGTAAATGCTTTATATATTACCAAATTTTGTATCCGTTTATGAAACAATCGCGAATTTATAGAGAAAAAAACAAATTTTAAAATGGAAATCAATTCAGGTAGTTGACTTCAATTTAAAACTGTAGTCATGATCTGCACGCGATGGTTAACAACATAACAACAATGCTAACGCTGCCACTGCTGCGGTGGCCGCCGCTTTGAATCGTCGAAAAATTGTTCCATTAATCGGAGTCAATGTATATGAACAAGAGTATCGCGTCACGCACAGCATGTTGATTTTGTACTAATACTTGGTGCGTACATTTTTTCCAATGTCTGTGGTCAATTGCACCATTTCTCTGTTGTTTCTGACGCGGGAATGAAATGCTAATAAATGAATATTTTGCGCGATTTATTCATCGTTTTATTTTTCACCTTAACAAAGGCTTCTATGGCCACCGAAAAAAAAACCAATGCAAAACGATTGAACCCAACACCCACGAGAGTACAAAGAGAGAGAGAGAGAGAGAGAGAGAGAGAGAGAGAGAGAGAGAGAGATATGTATGTGTGTGGAATCACCAATGAAAGAAGTCGAAGCAAACAGCCTGAGGAAATACATTTTCGGTACAAATTGAAGCCGAGACTGTTACTGTATCCATCTCTTTGAATATATGATGAGCTTATGTTATACATGTGTGGTATTATATCACATTCATGTGCTGGCAGAGACAAGGTCACAAGCTGGTTTTCCCTCCCTCTCTCTTTCTTTTTTTAGTCAGCATGTGAACAAACCAATTTATTAGGTTTCTTCAATTTTCCTTACCTTATTACCTTTTTTTTCGTTGGCCAATTCAACAACTATATATGTGGTTTGGATTCAATCGGATATACACTAATTCGATTTGGCCATTTTCTGCTGATCGGATTATTAAGTAGTAAAGTGGAAATACTACTACTTGTCTGAATCACTTGAGAATGTACCATAAATTTTTGGGGATTTTCCTTCGAAATCGCTGTTGCCTGATTAGGTGATCAATTATACGGTCAAAGTCAATCTCAATAGAATTGTTGTTACGTTTGAGATGTTTAAAAAATCATTAAAACGATTCTATTCTGAGCAAAATGGCTATATCCCCAAAAATATTACCAATTAGCCATCGATCATTGCTATGATGTGAAAATGTTAATTAACTTTTAGACCGCAATTTACGTGTTGTATTTAATTAAGCTGAATGAAGACGACCACAAGAAAGGCACACACACAGGGGAAAAAGCTAACATAATAATGGTATTTAGCAAACAAGATTGATTAATTAATTTTCATTGAATCAAACACGTGTTGATAATAATACCGCACAGCTTTAGGCAATGCCACAATATACACACATTCAATTTGATGCTGGCGGAAAGTGACGGCCAATTATTAACAATTAATAAATTCATAAAAGCGTTTGGGTGATCCCTATTTGTTTACATTGTCGTACAATTGCGGTTAAAGAGCATCGATTCATAGATTATTTGCTTTTGTCCGAGACAAATCATTCGATTTTACACCACACATTGATTCATCATCGTACTGTACCGCACCGTTGATGTATCGAGGCATTTCCCACTCGAACTATAAACGGTTTTCGGCCGTTTTCTTGTGTGGCGGTGACTCTTAAAATTGTTTCGCTGGATTGTTGAGTGTTTGGGTTATTCGTCATTTCATTCATCGCTCAACTACAGCTACTGATGGCTGTGTGTTACTTTGCTTACACACTAAACCCATACTTAAGCGGTAGTTTATTGTTCGTATAAGCAAGTAGACAAGCCGATTTCGTGTTAAGTTTCACACACAAATAACAACGCTCAATCAAACTCTACCTCAACACAGTGTGTTGTGATCACATATTGAATGCAATAAAATAAATTTTTTCCGCTTCTTTGTTTGTTGATGTGTGTAACGAGCGCCGTGTTGGTTCATTTTTTTATTCAAATGTCATATACGTACATCGTACATACAAATACACCGCCACCGTATCAATATAGGCATTTTTTTCATAACTTTTCAAGCGTGCGAAGCTATTTTACACTTTAATATCATTTAGTTTGTGAGAGGCACCGACAGTCTTCACACTGCAGTATAACGTATCGGTCGCGTATTTGAAATGCAAGTGTAATAAAGGAGAAGATTTTCGAGATTTTTGTTCGAAGTTCTTTTTTTTTGTTACGCTACGACGTTAGCATTTGCATCATAATCGGCATTGAATAGACTTCTTCTGTTTTTTTTTTCGTTTTCGAAGTGACTCACAATTTTGGCGGATTGAACGGGATTGTACGGGTATGGTATTTTCCGCGTAATGAAATTGAGAGTGAATCGATTCGGAACATTGAATGATTGAATCATAGACCTCGACGACATTAAATAAATTACAATAAAATATCAATCAGATTACACCATTCAGCGGCAAATGCGGGTACTTTGAAACAGCACTCATTGAAAGTGAATCAAGAAAGAAAGAAAAAACACATCGTTGGTATTGTGTTGCCAATTTTGGTATTTTGTGTGTTTGAGTGCGCGCAGAGATTATGCAAAAAGGAAATTCCATAAATTCCCATAAATAGATTGTATTGTTTATCTCTTTGTGTGCTGGAGCTGAAGTAATTTTGTCGGCAAAGTGACTTTTTCTTTCTTCCTCTTCGGTATCAGTTGAATGCGCGCGCGTTGCAACTATTGTTTACATACATTGTAACCATAATCAATTCGGTAACCGAAATTTTTTCTGCTTCAATCGTGAATTGTTAATGCTCAGCTGCATCTTTTCTCAGCCAACGAATGATTTACCAACCACTTCAAGTGAACAGAAACTTACGATAAATAATTTAAAATAAAAAAAGAGAGAAGCAGGCGCACCAAGTGACTTTGAAATTGCATATTCGGTGTGTTCATATTATTGCTGTGCATTTTGCAATTCGTAGCGCATGCAGTACCCATATGCAACAGTGCACGACACGAATGAAAAAAAAACAATAACAACATCAACGATTTGGAATCTGGAAAAACGCGTGAACGAAAAATTTAAAAAAAAACACACAGACACGGAGTAACGTGCACCAACCAAATAGTAACAGAGCAACAAGTGTTTAAATCAAAGTAAGTTGAAACGAAAACCACTTGCCAACAACAATGCACGAATAATTCAAACAACACTTTAAAACAAACAATTCTAAAAATATTTGTATGTGTACGGCCACCCATAGAATGTACATGGCTTGCATTTTGTTGTATTTTCAACTGTAAAAGGAAATGCGTCTTAGTTTCCACAACCAAGCACCACTTTACATACATACGTTTATAAGAAACAGAAAAAAAAACATGTAAATCAAGAGTCAGGCATCTTGGATACACCACACCACAACGTACGCGTACTTGAGCATTTAAAAAGCCATACATACGCAGTTATAACAATGCAAAACTTGAATCGACATCGAAGAGAAACAGATTTTTTTCTCCTTTATGTAATCGAATGAGAAAGGTCTTTTCCGACCGACACCTTGCACTGGAAAGGCGGTCACAAAGCCTTTGATTTTGTCTCATTTGAAATTCATTTCGAAAACTAGATACTGAAAACGAACACACATGTTTATGTGTATCGCTAGCAAAATTCAAAATCGAACAAGATTCCAATCAAAGTATCGGCATCGCTTGATTATTTCAGTCGACGGAAATAACGACGATGATCAAAAAATGCAAAATAAAAAAATAAAATGTGTGAATTGTGTGCACAATCAATAATCAACATTTTCAATGTTGGATTTATGTCCAAAATAAGCGCGCACTAAACCAGAAACGCGTGAAGAATATTACAACAACCGAACAACGAACCGATAAATCCATTTGGGTAATAATAAAGGTGTAATCTTCTTGTAGGTCAATATATAACTTAAGTCTGTCTTATTTATTGAGCACTTAAAAAAAGAACTATTAGGCAATCGGCAAAAAAATCTCAATTGATATTTGAATGTAAAACGAATCGATCGCCGCATTAGACATAAAGTGTAGATGTTGTTGGCCAAACGCGCACATTATTTTATCGATACAAGCGAAACAACAATAGCAACCGAATCGTGTGCAAATTCCAAATGGAAATTTTGGTTTTCATATTGCAAGATAGCAAAAGTCGGCCCAAATTCAGTGTAAGGTCACCACACCGTCACTAGCTTCTCTGTCTCAACACACTTTTAATGCTTTTCTTTGCATATTTTTGTATAAAATTATACATCAAGTTTATGATTTACCTTGTTTGCCTGTGTCTTGTTTCATTCGATGTTCCTCCACATTGCCTAAAAAAAAAATAACAAAAAAATAATTTGGTAGAAAAAATAATCCGCAAACATAACGTTTCTCCATGTCTATATGATTTCTGCAAATACCTCTCTCTCTCTCTCTCTCTCTCAATCCGATTTGTCTATCTGGTTTTTTTTCTGTTCGCTCGCTCTCCAACTCTGCAAAAATGTGTATAAAATGTAACCGAACTGATGTAAACGGTCGAAACGGATTTCGTTTGTGTGGTGTCTGTGTGTTTTTCTTCTCCATCTTCTGTTCAATTTACTTGTCTAGGTCAATAATCGTGCATTCATCCATCGTTCGATGCGAGATAAAACTTTGAAATTTATTGATATGAGCACAATCAACTCACGTATCATAGAGATCCACGGGCAATCTTTCTCTACATTTTTATTCGCAGTTGGCACGCTATTCGAGTTGAACTAATTTTCATTAACATTGGCATCATGAATGGAGGATAGAATGGTTTCATTACTTGACTTCGACAATGAGATAATTTGTATGTGTTGGTGGTAGTGGTGGTTATCGATCGATTTTCCTGAAAATTCAATTCAAATTTTCATGGTAGAAATTTCAATTAACACAAACCACTGGCTATTATTTACTCTCTCACAAATTCCATGAATGTTCCTTGATGCATTCAAAATAGCAACCTCAAACATGGGTTTACAACCATCAGTCCGATGCAATTATACATACACACACTTTTTTTTTGCTTAACTCGGTGGAAATAAAACGAAATAATTTGTTGTTGAATTTGTTTTTTTTTTCGTTCGGTGCGTGTGTACTATGGCAGTAATATATGCAAATTTGGTAATAAATTATGGCATTTTCCATTTATTCGGTTAACCCATTTGAAAAGACCTCAAAAGAAAATTGAAAATTATGATAAATTTACAGTGTTTGCATACCATAGCTGGGCTATAATGAGGTTCGGTCAAGCCTAATTGAGATGAGAATAATTAATCGGACAATTATCGTTTAGAAAAAACACAACAAAATCACTCAATATCAATAGCGATTTGGTGTGTAGTTTGTGCAAGTAAATTTTGCATGTTTTAAAACGAAAGTGTGCAAATAATGTTCAATGCTGATTTGTTCATAGATCAATTAGTTCTATTTCCATTTAACTGCAACGTATAAATATAGACACAAACTTAAACAATAACATGGCAAAACCACGAAAATGAAAAACACACAGAAAACTTTCATTCATTCTCTTTATCTCTTTCCATCTCTCAGAATAGAACTTTTTAGCGTTCAAGTTATAAGTAATTGAATTAGTGAGTAAATCAATCAGTGTCATTTGATGTGACCTAGATATATCGAGTATATAATCTACTTGTAGCTCATGAAACGATTTCGCGCAATGAGAACGCTGCTACATATTTCAATGATATCCGCTCCGGTGAACGCAATAGTTTTTTACCTACGATGAATATATATCTTTAGATTGCATTGTCGATAGAATCGAATAAAGAATTATTTTGCGAGGAAAAACTCCAAAGTTAACGCTGAATGAGAATGACATGGCGTTCAATTCGATATCTAATCTGGATTGCATCAATTTGGCGCTGTCTCATCGATTGAAATCAACTTAAATCTTTCAATACGAACATCCGAACAATTGAAGTCAGCGCGAACATCCGAAAATGCAACAAATTTTGTTTGGCGGAAATGCAAACGATGTTGCTTTTCTGTTTTATACAAAATCAGGCGAATAAATTGCACGTTGCAGCTGAATTTGCATCGAGTTGAATCAAGTTCTTTCCGCTTTCATTGTGCAGAATCAGCAAAATCAGCTAAGGTCATAATTATATCATCGGGGAAGTGCTTCGTCGAATGGCAACGAAACAACAATGAAAAGTGAAAAACACACACATTCTGAAAGCGCAAAAATTACAAAATTACAGAAAAGACAAACAATTCCAGCAAATTATGCAAAATAAATAAATATTTATCCAATACAATAGCAACGACAACACGACGAAAAAAGACATTTGTCATCAACCGACGGAGCAAACACAACTCATTCACACATTTTTATTTATCGAAAATTGGTATCGAGCGTGCACTCTATTCTTCTGATGTGCTTAATGCCAATTTTAAATTATCACAAACAACACATCTCAATGACCTTCCGGATATTAGGCAACGAATAGGCCATTTCGTCATAAACAATAATCAATTTCATTATTTACATTCCATTCGCGTTTTATTTTTCTTTCTTTTTTATTTTTTCCGTTCAGCTGTGCTTCAGCTCGTCGCTCCCAGAAGGATAATAATTAATAAAATTGCTTTATTTGATTTTGAACGATGATAAAAACGCAACAGATTGCCTCACAGCGCATTCCACAAAACAAAATGTGATATTATTTTTTGATTATTGTTTGAAAGCTCACCATCAAAAATACTTTTGAAGGCTTCTCTGGTTGGAAAATTGTGTTTGATATCAATAATAATTAGGCCGAAGCACGAATTGAGTTCATAGCGTCACTGCCAGAGATTATATACGACCGTTTCTCTTCTACGAAAAACGCAAACATAATTCAATAATTCAATCCGGGAGACGAAAACAGTCCAATTACAACAAAGAAATGTGTTGAATGTAAAAGAGAGGCCGGATCTCTGGGGGGAAAACCATGCACAAAGAATGATGGCCGATTGAATGTAATTCCACTTCAATTGTATTAAATGTCGTATAAAGTCCATTAGTGACGCCTTTAACAAATGAGTCACGGCTTTTTTAAGCAAAAAGTGCTGGATTCTATGGAACATTGGCAATGGTGTGAGTAAGAGCTCTTATCGTTTAAATTCCAAAGGTAAAGCGATGCTATTCTCATGAGTATAAATCTCATCTAGTCGGTAAAATAGCATTTCGCTGTTACATGCATCGTTTCATGGACTAGCATGCATATAATATTAGTGAAGGAAATAAGAAACAGAATCGTCAAGTCGTTTACAGCATACACACAGCGATAAAAATGGCCTGAAGTTCATTGTGCGCGTAATAATTAACGTCGTTCGGTCGTTCTGTTGATCGATGCAGGTATATATAGTTACCATTCTGCGGCAAGAGTTTCATGTCTTTTCCTGTCATTCATCAGAACAGAATGAACCATCGACAAGTGCAAGATAACATTTTTATTAATGAGCCACCTTTTTCCCTCGTGTAGGCCTTTAGCATTTCTTTCTTACATTCGTTCGTCCAACAGCACTTCTCTTGTACATTTCAAATTAATTAATCGGAAACCAATGTCAATCCCTTGGCTGTGTGCAGCACATAATACATCGGTCAATGTCAAATATTGTTTTTTTTCCTTCTCTCCTTTGGCATACGTAACCAAGAAAGTGTCAATATAAACATATTATAAAAAAGGTAAAAATAAATTATTGGCCACAACGATAATTGTGTATGAGTGTATTTTGTTTATGTAAACAGCGACTTTGAAATTGAAAACGACGAAAATCAGTGTATGTCGAAATGTAGCACCGAAATGCTTCACAACCAATAAATCCGATCTCGATGAATGTGTGTACAAGGGGCAAAAAGAGAGTGAATAAAAGAGAAATAATAATCAGACACCAAATTATTCGTTTAAAGGATGACCGGTTTTTTCGATAAACTTGTTTGCCTATCTATTCATACACACTCCATCGCCTGAATGAAACCTGTGTGAATTGACAAATCATCGTTGCTAACGCATTTTCGACTGTTGCACACAACACACTTATCTAATACGATACATGAATGACAGAGCCGAGAAAACAGGTGGAAAGGAAAAAGAGAGAAAATGATCGTAAAACAACAAATCGCAATTGTAACAGACCATCAAAACCTAGTCAACACAGTCTTTTTCCGCCTATGCTGTAATGCCTTTGCAAAATGTCATACATATCGATTACACTTCAATCGTGAAAAGTGAGTGAGTGAGTGCAATTAACCAAGTAGAATTCATTTTTAAATACGTATATTGCACTGACAAGATTTATCTTGTTCGAGCTTCGAGCTATGTCTGTGTCACAATAACTTGTTTTCTATATCATTATTGTTGTTATTATTATTTAACACATCGCATTTCTCTTTCTCTCTCTCTCTCTTACTCTCCTCGGTTAATTCCATATACGGATGGAAGTTCGGGTCTGTGTGTGACTTGAGAGTGAATCGTTTTTTACTCGCTTATGAATCGAATGAATTAGATCATACACGTGTGTATATATGATTCAAGATGTTGATTATTTGTCAATATCAATGCAATATCGAGTGTTCTGTGTGTTAATATGCGCGAACCAGAGACTAAATTTTAGACTCTGCGATTAAAATTGATTGGTTGCCAGACACACATACACACACAAGCATACATCATGCTGAAGAAGGTCAGCAAACTCTCACAAGTTCATTTCATCAAGTTTTCGGTATGTTAGCATTTATTGACCAATCGAATATACGAAAATTCCAGTTACAAGGTATTAATTGGCCACAGTAGGTTATCAGTGCTGAGAAGCACAATTTTAGTGTCCATTTATAAATATAGCTCACATTCGAATTTAATAAATGTATTCGGTTGCTGACAGAGTTCATGAGATGTTGGTTTTACTCTTTGAGTCAGTGTTCGATTGGTCGTTGGAATTAATTCAAGGTTCTCTAGCTTGTCGTGCTGTGATTTTGAAATGCTGATGCGTATTTGTTTAAACAATGCGAGCGCAACAGTTACAGTAAATTACCAGAGTTGACAATGCCTGTGAATTTCTCGTGAACAGAGATAGAATGTTTCTTTGTTTCTTTGCCTCTCGCTATCTGCCTCAAAATCGCAAGCCAATCAAATTGATGACTTAATAAATGATGCGCATTTGAGTTCATATTCATAAAATAGAGATCAACATTAAGGCTTCAACCAGTTTGTTGTTGCGTTGGGCCAATCCTACCTAAAATGTGCGGTGGTCAGCATTGAAAAGATTGTCAATATTTAAGTAAGCTGAGTCTGGCTACTTCTTCACGTTGTTGCCGTTTTTTTTTATTGTTGTCGTTGTCGTTGTTTTTGTTGTTGTTGTCGTCGTCGTCGTCGTCGTCATAGTCATTGTGTTTTTTCCATTTTAGCTCATTTCATACATCGTTTTGAGTGGCCAAAGCAGTTTGCGTTTATCGTTAAAGCAATCAACATCGGCTACAGAGCACCGTGTGTGCATATATATTTACGTGCGTGAGTCTGTGTTTGTGTTTGCGGTTTCCAGTGTGGAGCCAGTTTTATCGTGAATTCTATTTTTATAAGATCGGATACATTAGTATTTTCATCATCGGCCGTCGTTGAGCAAGTGATTATGCGCATCATCGGCAATGCATATATATAAAGTGCGCAAACAAACATTAGCTATTTGATGTGAGAATATCGTGTGCTGTGCCGTGCATATCCAAGTAACGTCAAGTCATTATGTTTCCTTCGCATTCTAAAACACATAAATTCGTATGATTCAGATTATTTCATGGCTAGATTTGACAGAAAATAAAGAGGTTTTTATGATATGGAATGCGCGCGCGAATGTTCCATTCAAACTGGATTTTTTTCGTTATGGAACTGGTTTTGTTTTTCATATTTCAGCATCTCGCTCAATTTACGTTCTTTCACGAAAAGAGAGAGAAAAACAACCACACACGCATTTAGTAGATGACAAAAAATGATACAAACGAATCCGGGCGGCGTTCTTAAAATGAAACGAATTTGTTTTTGCCTTTCGTGGACTGTGCAATTGAACTTTTATCACCCGATAAGCGAGTAGATAATAAGCGCCATATAAAAGCCATACTTTGTTCAGAATCTTCAACCACTTAATCAAAAATAATTCGTGATCATGACGGGTTTGCGCATAATTTTCAATTTGCCGTCGAGATTAACAATGGTAGGAATCATGAAAGTGTTAATACGAAAATTGGCTTTATGCGGCTCGCGCAACATCATCGACAAAAAACACACACGATATGGTTAAATAGTGTATTTGTTCGAAATGACACACTCTGGCCAATCAATGCCAAATAAACAATTTGTCACAGTCTCGGCGTGCTTTCAGACGCATATCTAATGACACATCACACAAATCATCTAATTCGTTAGACTGTTTGTTTCGGTTCAATAAAGACGTCCGGTTCGTTGCTTTTTTTCCTCTCTCTCTCTCTCTCTCTCTCTCTCTCTCTCTCTCTCTCTCTCTCTCTCTCTCTCTCTCTCTCTCTCTCTCTCTCAACGCAGTTGTTATCTTACATATGAAGAACGAAGTGCTTAATGAGCAATTCAAAGCGTGCGCGTTTGGTTCGTTTCACTAATTTTGCAGATAATTAAAATCAAACCTTTCCGCAATAAATGGATTTAATAAGACATAAAAAACCAAATCATTATTTCCGGAAAATAAACTTTATTTTTTTGGACTATCATTTTCGACAACACAATTCACAACAACAACAAAAAATGTCTATTTTGTGTTTTTTAAGCAAAAATGGAGACTACCACAGAAAGTGAAGTAAATGAAATGAATGGAGTCGCTGATGCAGTGACAGCCAAATCAAATGAAACCCCTGAAAAGATGGATAAAATGATGGAAAATATGAATAAAGCGGTTCAGATGGAAAAAACAAATAGCTTGGATGACATTAAACCATCAAAACCAATCAAATCAGCCGTACGCGAAGTGACAATAAATGCTGAAGAGCCCGGCACATCCACATCATCATCGTCCACATCATCGGCAATATCGCATAGTCAAGAGCTAGCTGCACGTCGTCGTCAATTCATGTCACAACCATCAACGGTTGCAACGAGACGACAACAAGCCGTCTGTGTACGACGCGCACACAAAACCTACGGACCAAAAAACAATCCAAACATCATTTTGGATGGATTAAACATGACTGTGCCAAAAGGATCAATGTATGTGTCATTGCTTTGTTTGTTCTAAAATGCTATTAAATCGAGTCAACAAAAAAGGCTTTGTTTAAACTGGTTTTTTCTTCTCTGTTGACAGTTATGGATTACTAGGAGCTTCGGGATGTGGTAAAACCACACTTTTATCATGTATAGTTGGACGCAGACGATTAAATTCGGGTGAAATTTGGGTCTTGGGCGGTACGCCAGGCAGTCGAGGTTCGGGCGTGCCGGGACCACGAATTGGATACATGCCACAAGTAAGTGGAAAAAAAACGGCAATCGAAATTCATTCTCCTAATCATATTGAAGCTATTTTCGTAACACAATTTTCGTTTGATTGTTCCAGGAATTGGCTTTATATGGAGAATTCACATTACGCGAAACACTGCTCTACTTTGGATGGATTGCCGGCATGACAACATCCGAATGTGATGAGAAAATTGATTTTCTTATTCGATTGTTGCAACTACCAAATGTGACACGTTTTGTTAAGAATTTGAGCGGTGGCCAACAACGGCGAATGAGCTTGGCTGCGGCACTTTTACATGGTATGTGAAATGATTTAACCACTAGCTAATCTAATAAAATTTCTTTCCCTCTCCCTCTTTGCCTAACACACACCCACACAAACAAAATGAAAGTGACGCAGATGCTCACACAACACTTTCCTAACAATATATAGTTTAATCGACGGTTTAATCCATTTACCTGGCAAATAATTCTATTTAACAATTACAGAACCGGAATTATTGATTTTGGATGAGCCAACGGTTGGTGTTGATCCAATCATTCGGCAAAGCATTTGGGATCATTTAGTGGAAATTACGAATACGATGAAAAAAACGGTCATCATTACGACACATTATATCGAGGAAACGCGTCAAGCCCACGTTGTACGTATTATGATTTATTTGTGCTTTATCAAAAAATGAAATCTCATAATAGAAACTATGTCATTACCATGACGTCAAAGAAAGTATGATTTGACAAAATTGAGTAGTTTGTGAAACGTGTCTAGTGTTTTTCCCTTTTGTTTTATCTAATGCGACTGTGACATCGTTTATTTATTTAGATTGGTTTAATGCGAGGCGGTAAATTCTTAGCGGAAGAATCTCCGGATACTCTTCAAATGAAGTACCAATGTGAATCATTAGAAGAGGTGTTCTTAAAGCTTGCCATTATACAAAATAAGGGAAAACGTCGTCGTTCGTCAATTGCACAGGAAATATCCGATCAAGTATCGATGCCATCGGCAATGACCGTGAGTATTACAACCACATCGAATGATCAATCAATTTTATTTATACTACGAATAAAGAAAAAAATGTTAATTTTCTTTTGCATAGAATCCTGGTTTAGACATATCTGAAGAGGATCCGAATGAAATTTCCGGTGAATTTGGTGATCATTCCACATCGATAATGCCGTTACCGAAACATGTAACCGATACAACATCACCGTTACCTCCATCGGAAGAGCAACCGGCCACACTCATCGACTATGTCAAAGTGTTTAAGCCGCATCACATGAAAGCGTTAATTTGGAAAAATTTCCTATGGATGTGGCGAAATGTTGGTGTGATGGCGTTCATTATCGGTTTACCGTGTTTACAAATTATCCTTTTCTGTTTGGCTATCGGTCATGATCCAAAAGAATTGAAATTGGCCGTTGCAAATCATGAATTGAATTCAACCGGGATGGATGACTGTCCAGTATACGAAGGTTGCAATTATACGTTACTCAGTTGTCGTTACTTGAATATTCTAACACAAAAAGATATGGTCATTGTGAGTATCGATGGAATTTTACGAATGTCATTCGACGTTGGCGATTTTTATGACGTATACTTCATTTTGTTTTCTGTCGTTGTTTTGTCAACAGCAATTCTATGATTCGGATGAAGTTGCCTACAATGAAGTTAAACGTGGTCGCGCATGGGCTGCATTGGTTTTCCAAAGTAATTACTCTGACTCACTGGTTGAACGAACTGAAGCGGGCCGATATGCTGAAGATTATACGATTGAAGCGTCTGACGTCACAATCCGTATGGACATGTCAAGTAAGTGACTAAAAATAAATCCAATTGTTTTCTTCTCTCTTACATCACGCACGGAAATGCTTATTAAAAAAACCGCTGTGACTTTTTTTCTTCTTCTAATCTTGACTTTAGATCAACAAATTGGACAATTGCTGTTCCGTGATCTTCAATTTGGATTTTTCAGTTTTATCAATCAAGTGATGAAAGATTGTGATTTGAATCCAGCGCTCGGACAAATTCCCGTTCGTTTTAACACGCCAATTTATGGAACGCAAACGCCAAATTTCACCGATTTCGCTGCACCTGGTGTTATATTGACTATAATTTTCTTTTTATCGGTTGCATTAACCTCCGGCGCTATGTTAATTGAACGGAACGAAGGCATGTTAGAACGTTGCCTGGTATCCGGAATAACCGGGATCGAAATGCTGTTCTCGCATGTTGCCACACAATTCGTCATAATGTGCGGTCAAACGACATTCGTACTTATTTTCAGCTTTTCTATTTTTGGACTAACACTACAAGGTGACATTTTATGGGTGATCTTATTGACCATACTGACTGGACTGTGCGGCATGTGTTTCGGTATGTTGTTATCAAAACGAAAACACACTTTCGCTTTTTTTCTCCCATTTCAAGGGCATTTTTGAAAAAAAAATTCTTTGTTTCATTTTTCTCCCACTTTGGTGCAATTAGGTTTTGTTGTATCATCGGCGTGTGACAATGAACGTACAGCGACATACATGGCGATGGGAAGTTTCTTGCCGATTGTCATGCTGTGCGGCATTATTTGGCCAATTGAAGGAATGTATCCAGGTTTGAAGTACATTGCATGGTTCTTGCCATTGACACAATCAACGGAAAGTTTGCGATCAATTACTCAACGTGGTTGGCTAATCAGCGAGACAGCCGTTTATACGGGCTTCATTTCGACCGGCATTTGGGTGTTGGTCTTCTTAACAATAAGCATCCTATTGTTGAAATTTAAGAAAGGTTAACCACGTACCTAGCACTCTCTATGTATTTGAGTCATTTCGTTTATGTTTATATTTTATTGTCTTTTTCATGTAAAATTTAGTTAATTTTTTTTTTGTGTTGTTTTAAGCATTTTAGCGGTAATATTCGTAATTCTTTTCTTGGATAAGTTGTACATGAATGTTCTTTTTCTAATAATTATTTAATCCAAGCTTAGCGAAAAGTGTGAATGATATTGTTATTTAAAAAACAAAACAAAAATAAATAAATATAAATTGGTGTCGATGTCATGGAAATTGACGAATTGTTGCATTCAATATGTGTTTCACTATTGCCGGTTACAGCTAAAAACCCCCACACAATTCATTCCGGATTACTTTTTATCCAAAAAAGAAGAAAAGGAAAACAAAACCAAACAAATAAAATCATTCAAAATGGGAATGGCTTATGATGACGAACTTCGGACGCTTGAGATGTTACGATTAAGCATCGGGCAAGGTCTGCATCTGAATTTGGAATAAGTTTGTGGTCGTGCATATTGCGACAACAGCGACAGAAAAGTTCAAGGCAAGTCATTAATATTCAAGCCATGATGAAACAATTTACAGGTAGTTAAGACATGGCCACTGACGCACAATGACAAAATCACAATCATCCATCAATTATTAACCAATTGCCGGTTGTGAGTGCGATGATACGAAACTAGATATCGAATTACTTTTGCACGCTGTAATTAAGTATCAATAAACGTTGGTGTATTAGCGAACAGTTTTCTCTCGAAACAAATCTTAAAAAAATGAACGAATTGGTCAAAATGTGCATTGCCTATATTACGGCGTAATTTTAATAACGTTCCGCATTTCAAATCGCTGCGAGCTAACTTCATGGAGTTTTCTAGGCATTGTCAAATACATAACCTCACTGTGTCACCATTTGACAGAACGTTCTTATAGTCATAAGTTTTCTCCTTACTATTTGGCCAAAGGATACATAAGACGGAATTGCAAATCTTCGTCATACTTTCATAACATTTAAATCGATTAAATTATTACGAAATGGCTTCACGTTTGCTTCGTCCAACCAATTTGGCACTTGCCAATGCCATAAAAAAGGTAACAAATCCAACACTCGTATTCAGAGAATAGTTATAGTTTTATCGAAACTGACGTATTACATAAGCGTGTGAACTATGGATATAATTCATGCACAGCACATGATTTCATTCATATTTGCTATTGAAAACAGAACTAATTTCGATTTGTTTTTTATTTGCCTCCGAAGAACTATTCAACTGCTACAGCTGCCGATAGTGAAATTACCAGCAAAACACCATTGCAAAAGAAATTCCAGGTAAAATTAACCGCAAATTTTACGGTGACATTGAAACCAAATGTGTTCTTTTTTGTTTATTAGCATGCAATTCCAAAAGCTCAATTCGGTGGACGACATGCAGTTTCAATGCTGCCTGGTGGCGGTATTGGACCCGAACTGATGTTGCATGTACGTGAGATTTTCGATAAAATTGGTGTTCCAGTGGATTTTGAAATTATCGACATCAGCCCGGCCAGTGAAGGCAATGACGATCTTGACTACGCTATCACATCAATCAAACGTAATGGTGTCGCTATCAAAGGTTCGCACAAAAAATATATATATTCATATGACGCAAATAGCGATTGGAATTAAAATAATGATTGTAAATGATAATCGCAGGAAACATTGAAACAAAAAGTGAAGCAACTGACACAATTTCACGTAATGTCGCTCTCCGAAACGAATTGGATCTGTACGTGAATGTGTTGGAATGCCGATCATATCCAGAGGTGCATGCCCGACACCAAGGCGTCAACATTGCTGTTGTACGACAAAACACTGAGGGTGAATACGCTATGTTGGAACATGAGGTGAGTTTTGGACGAATTTATTTGGCTTCTTTGGTTAAAGTTTAACACGAGAACGCGTTTTTATCGAGGGGGAAATCACTCTAGAAAATAACTTGTCCGGTTTACAAATTACTTTCACTATTACTTTTTTTAAGAGAATTACAAATTACTTTTTATCATAGAAAAATATATTTTTGACAAGTAATTTCTAATAGAAAAGTAATTCATCGAATAAAAAGTTATTTGCAGTAATTCAGAGTTTGACTTATACGCCAGATATATGCTATGGCATAAAAACAATATGCGCATATTTTTTGGTACATTTGGATTTTGTGACTAACTTACCATGTAAATTCATGTGCATTCCACGATTTTTTGTGGATCCCACGATTTTTTGTCCCAAATTCGTGGAATGCACATGAATTTACATGGTAAGTTAGTCACAAAATCCAAATGTACCAAAAAATATGCGCATATTGTTTTTATGCCATAGCATATATCTGGCGTATAAGTCAAACTCTGCAGTAATTTTTAAAGTAATTTTTAGTCGAAAAACTACTTTCAAAATTACTTTTTGTTCAACGAATTCCCAAAAAATTACTTGTCAAATATAAATTACTTTTGAGTGATTTTCCCCTCGGTTCTTATGCATGTGACTAATCCAATTAATTGGAAATCAATGACTTTGCAGAGTGTCCCAGGTGTCGTTGAGAGCATGAAAGTAGTTACCGATGAAAATTCAGAACGTGTTGCCCGTTATGCGTTTGAATATGGTGATTTTTTCTCCTTTTTGATATTTTTTTTCGGAATTTCGAACACTTGTTTTACTTTTGAATCATTGTTTCTCGTTCGAACAGCCAAAAGTACCGGTCGCACAAAGGTGACAACTATTCACAAGGCCAATATTATGAAATTGTCGGACGGTTTATTCTTGGAAACATCTCGTCGCGTTGCCAAAGATTATCCAAATATCCAACACAACGACATGATTATTGACAATACATGGTAACATTGATCAACATTTTTTTCCGTTTGACTCAAACGTATTGAATGTGAGGGTTGTTTTCGTTTATTAGCATGCAACTGGTGTCCAATCCGCATCAATTCGAAGTGATGAACATGACGAATTTGTACGGAACCATTGTTTCAAATGTGATTTGCGGTTTGATCGGCGGTGCTGGTTTGTTATCCGGTGCTAACTATGGTGATCATGTAAGGCTATCAAACTGAATTCATTGATTTGGATAATTGTTTCTTGTTTCATTTTGATTCGGTTTTGGATGGGTTCTTTTATTTCATTGCTCTTTTATTACGGGTGGGTTCAGTATGCCGTATTCGAGCCAGGCACTCGTAACACAGGAACGGCCATTGCTGGAAAGAACATCGCCAACCCAATTGCCATGCTCAACGCATCCGTTGACATGTTGTACTACTTGGGGCACAAAACTTATGCCGATGCCATTACAAATGCCATCCGAAAAACCATCGTCGAGGATAAAATTCACACACCGGGTTCGTAGACAAATTAATAAATACTTTATACCTTTTAAGCCAGACATCGTGTCACATGCACGGTACAAGTGTTAAACCAAATTACAGCTTCCACCAAACGTATCATTTCTGTTTAATTTCAACATTTAAATATCGGTTCGCATTTAATCGTGTTGATTGAAACGTCCCAATTGATCATTTATTGATTTATTCAACGTTTCAATTGAATTCACACCCAATTTAATTTTTAATTGTATAATAACAGATTTGGGCGGCAACAGCACATCAAGCGACGTTATCCAAAACATCCTGTCACGTTTGGGCGAAGAAGATATCCACTGGTAATTATGATCAAACCAAACACCACTCTCTGCTCTCCCCCAAAATAACCCAGACAAAATTTAGCAATTAATACGATTATTATTGTCCGTTGTCGCTTATGAATTTTCGGCTCGCAATCCCTTCAAATTGTTTTCAACATCATTGCATTCAATCAGCAATGCTAAATATATTATTTCTTTTTTTCTCTTTTTTTTTCTCTTTATATATTCTATGTCGTTTTTTTGTGTTTGTTCATTTGATTGAAAACACAAAAAACTCTCCTGTTGTTTTTATTTATATTATTAATCGATACTGTTATGCATTGACAATTGGGGGGAAAAACAAATTCAAATGATTTATACGTTTTAATTTACGTTATAAGTTTCAGTTTCAAATGAATTAATCATTAGACATGTTGTGTATAATTTATGAAAAAAATATTTCATTATTATTGCGATAAAATCAATTTTGGTGCTAAACTATTGCTCATTTCTCGAAATATATTGAAAACCGAACCGAAATTCAAGCTTTAAAAAAATATATAATTTGAATTATTTTAGTTAATTTACCGAACAAAAGCACAGTTGTTTCAGTTACTATTCTTAATTAATGAATGGAATTGCTGCTAAACCGTTCACCAACCGATTCCAATTTCAAAATTGTCACTCTAATGAGCCCAAAACGATTTATCTTAAGTACGAAATTTTTCTAAATTGAGCACTAATTGCTGCTCATCGAACGGTTTCGTGGTGATTTTCATGTTTTTCAAATAAATTTTCTCTCTCTTATCATAGTAATATTTCAAGTAGGTAAACCATTTTTCATTCTCTAGCTGGCAATTTCATTGGAATGAGTCGGACAAGAAATAGAAAAAAAACGCTAGCAACATGCAAATGAAAACAGAAAAAAAGAATGAACAGAGAAAACGTATGCGCAATGCCAGTAAGGGTTTTAATTATGTTAAATGTTTACGGTTACTCGAAGCAAAATCGATTTGGACGAAGCAATAGAAGCAAAAGAGAAACGAAGTTAAGGAAATAAAAAATGATGAATTCGTTATAATTGAAACCTTTACGATGGCAATCAAAATAAAAATAGCATTATCGCAACATACATACACAACCCATACGCATACAATTCATCCGACTATTGGTTCGGTAGAACCGCCATTGAGTGCAAAATAATCAAATATTGATGATTGCGTCACACATATGCTCATTGCTCATGCCAGGGAGTGGAACGGAATTGCATATTTATCAAAGTTCCATCGGTCGACCGCCGATTGCACGGTGTTACATCATATTTTATATCCCTATTCACCTCACACACACATACCCACCCACCCAATCATACGCATACAGAACTTGTAGTAAATAAAAATAGCATATATTTTGTTGTTGAATTCATTCATTTATTGTGCATTTTCCATTTGTTTCCGATCATATTGATTGTGTCATTTAGAAAATTGCATTTGCAATCTGTTTGAATTTCGCATTTAATTGAATTCGCAAAATAGAGCCGCTCTCACACCCTAATTATGATTACTAATTCCCATTGAATAACAACTAACCGCTTTTTTCTGTTTTTTCACTGTGTTTTTTTTCTCAACAGGCCTAATTGATTGCATTAGATATGATGTTATGTGTATTTGTGTGTAAGAAAAAATAAAATTCACAAAACTTATTAACTGATATCCCATTTCCAACACGAAAATCAAATCAAATCAAACTAAACCGATCTTAATCAGACTCAACCATGTTTTGTCTGCCCTTGTTAACTATTAAAACTGTCCGCTTCCTATAAAAGTGATTTGTGCGTGCAGTGGAAATAGTGTTTGGCGCAGCAAATGAAAGCAAAAGCAAAAATAAAACAGTAACGGTATACATTCATGGCACGGAGGACCTAAATCCATTCATTTAATGAACTGAAACGTGATATCATTGGCACTGTAATAGGAAACATCTGCATACAAATTTTTATTTATGTTATGTTTTTCTCATTGATGGATTATTATCGCAACAGAGATTAACGACAATACTTATTTTAATTCATTTTGTTTGACATTCTCCTATAATGATAAATAAAAGCTCCCAATTAGAATTGATTCAATTTGCTGAAAATGAGCTTTGGAACAGATGCGCGGAAAAAAAGAGAAGAACATGTACACGACGATGTGAGTAATTGATATGAACTGAACCGAACATTGAACGGCAGAGCGAATATAAATAAAGTCAGCGTCGAATAGCAAAATTCAACATTCATTAACTGTAAAATAAGTGCTGATATTTGATTGCATGTTGTTGTTTTTTTAAGTTAATTATTGTTTATACATGAAACTAAATTCAAAATGGCTAAAAATATACATATACCGAGAGAGAGAGAACGTTTATAAATCAATTTATTGGTCTTGATTATTGACTTTGATGCTTTTGTTGGCACACGTCTATTGAGTGCGAAAAAACAAGATGAAACCCATGGTTTGCGACGAAAAAGGCAGTCAGAACAGCGCGCAACATTTCGTGATCAACTGTATAAACACACAACATGGAGTGTGGCTGGTAAGTGAGTCAATGTATGGATGTATTGGCACGAAAACTCTCAACAACACAGTACTCTCTTTGCATGCTTGCTCGCTCGTTCGCCCGCCTTCCACTCGGAATCACTGTGCGGCTGTGAGAGCGCAGCAAAAAAACACCTGTTATGAAGAATCGATGCAAAATGGAACCGGTACTCGCAGACACCAATATATCTCCAATATAAAGATGAACAACCAACCATACTGGCTTCAATATGCAAAATGAACGTTGCCGTATCCATTCCTTTTTTCCTAGGAAAAATTGCGTGTGAGCCTTTTTTTTCTTCTTCCTCCTTCTTGTTTCGATTTTTATTTAGCTGATGAAAACCGCAGAAAGAAACTCGCTCTTTGCGTTGGTATGGTGATGAACAGGGTTTCCATGCAATAAAGACAACTGGTAAGGCGATTACATTTTCTAGGCAATAGATACTGTGTGGCTAAATTTATGAGCATGACAGCAGCAGGTATTAAGCCAACAACAGCACCACCACCACCAACCACCGCATCATATCTGTGTAATCAACGTAACAACCACAAATAATTGACTCTATCATGGTGCTGTGAATATTTCCCTATCTAGCTGTCGCCATTCTATCTACGAAATCGAGAGACAGGTGTTGTTGAATTTTGTCAAAGAAATATTAATCAGAAACATTTGAAATGTGAGCTTTCTGCTAATTAATTATATATATATATATATATCTATATGTAGAATAACATCAGAACCCATATTATTGTTTGCAAAGATTTGCCATTGCCATTCGAAACTTTTTCCACTTGCATCCTTGTGAATGATAATACAAGTTGTGACCGAAAGAGTAGAATGAATAAAGAGAAGACATAGAAAAAGTTTCACTTCATGAATCGTTTTATTATTTGAATTCGTCGTGATTATGAGTTTTATTCGGATGCTGCTGCTGCTGCTGTGATGTCGGGACTAAATTGGATTACAAGCATATTTGGCATGTCGGATTTATGTTTGTTCGGATTGTTATCATACACAGCAATCATAAAAACTCAACCGAAATGTCTAGCGTCTTTTGCTGTTTGTACGACAGTGTAAAGCTCATTCGTATGTGATCCGTACGGCTGTACAAACTAGGACCATCAATACGAAATCCAAACTCTATTTTAGACGAATCAGTTAATTTATGACTTTATTTATGCGTAGCAGCCGTTTATCGGCTCGATTTTATTATTAGATTTTATATTCGATTCCTCAATAATAAGCGATTCGAGGCGGCACTCGGTTTTTCTCTTGTCTCAATCGGTCAGCACACACACAGTTAGCACACATGCTGTGAACAAATGGCAGAAAAGAACGAAAGAGATAGCGCCAGTGAAAGAAAAGCCAAGGGAATAAAACAAGCTCCTAATGGCACAATGAAAAAGCAAAAAGGTTAAACACCGAAACGAATGCAGTCAATCGACAATCTTTGTTATCTGATATATATATATATATATTTAGTTATGTGTATGAGTGTGTCGAGTCGAGTAGTCGACACCGTTTCGTGTGTACGATTGTATGTGTGCGTAGCTCTCTGTATGTGACTTTACTGCGCATGTAAATAAAATCAATAAACAAAAATTTTCTTCGGGCCGTACGTAGCAAGTTTCGTGTTTTCGCTAATATTTGCTGGCAAATGGTGGCTTAGCTCAGCACAGCACAGCACACATCATATCTCTCGCTTTCGGACACACACCAAAAATCGAATCGACGCAAACATGTGCACGAAAATGTTCTATTCCACTGTGTTCATGTGAAACATACATCATTTCGCAGGAAATGAAGAGAAAATTACAGTGCTTTCGTTCCATTTTTCCCAAAAGCCTGTATGTCAGCAGGTACACGCACACAAACACACACAGCGGGATTAAGAGAGCGAGAGAGAGAAAGAGATCATAGGAATGCAAAATAGACGGTGTTTCTGAAAAACAGCGCGCACACACAATGAAACGCATTCTCTGATTTTCCCAAAGTACACACACATAGAACAGCGCGACCGAATGGTAGTAGACATTCAGTTTTGTACACAGGCACCAAAAATTTTCTTGCGCTCTCATCGCTAGTTGCGGCGACTCTCACACATCAAACAGTCGCGTTCCGAAGGAAAAGCAAGATTTCTGATCGTCTCTCAGTCAAACGAAAAGTGTCGACGAATTGAGCGACACACATTGCACAGAGAGACATACACAGGCTATCACTAAGTCACCGTGAAAAAAAGAAGATTTTTTATATATACATACTGGCTGCGTGTGAAAGAGCGAAGCAGAAGAAAAAAAACCAAAAAAAAAATAAAGAGAAAAATTTACAGTGAGTTTTGAAATTTTAAACAAGAATATAAATCCAAACGCGACAGTTTTCATCAACAACAAAAAAGAAGAAACCAATTTCTATTCTGGATTTAAATGGAAGGAGCAGAATATCAAGTTTGAAGAGAAAAAAAAATTGGTTCATTTTTAATTTTCAACACATCTTTTTATTGCTTTGTGGTTTGTGTGCTCGTCGTGAAAATATTTGGTGAAATTTCTTTCGGCATTTAGATTATTCAGTGAAATTACTGTTCATATATGTATAAATATGAATTGATTTTCTTTCCGTTGGCTTGGAATATATTGTTGGTTTGGTACAAGCGAAGAAAAAATAAACGGGAAAATATTGTTCGCATTATTTCGTGATCCAATGGATTGGATTGGGTAAACCCGATAATCTAAGTTCTATAGTGCTAAAAATTCATAAGCAGCAGCAGCATTTTTGTTAATTATACAAGCATTTCAAAATAAATACGAACCGTTTATATTACGTTGTGAATCCATCGGAAAAAAAGAAATACAACTCATTATATAGTTTGTTAGATTAGAGCACGAAAGTTAAAAATATACATCCATATTTCTACAGCAACGGGGCATAAAACGCATATATTGAGAAACACCAAACAGGCATTAATACAAAACAAACAGCCACAATAATAACAACAACAAACAAAAAATGAAAAAAAAATATTAAGAATAAATATATACGCGCGGACGAGGAGACACACACAAGCTAGCGAATTCAACGAAAGTAAATAAAATCGTTAAATAATACGCAAAATCGTCTCATATGAAAAAATAGAATAAAAAAAGAGCGAAAATGAAAGAATCAAGTTTGAAAATGAATGTAGAGTACGGATAAATGTCATGGTGAAATAGCGAACGGTAGAACCAAATCGAAGACCATAAAAAAAGCATTCGAAAAAGAAAATAATTTTAAACATAAAGGCTACATCACATGAATCGTGTGGTATATGTATAAATTACAAATGAAATTCATTTTTAATATTGATTTGGATGTCTGTCGTCATTCCTTTTTTTTCGGTCGAATTTGCCATCGATTTATCATTATCTTTCATCGTCCCAATCTCAAAAAAATATGAATGTGTGTGTGACACTGTAGCTGTCTTTTATTCAGACGACGTGGTTGAATTTTGATTTTTTTTTCCGTCGCTGAAAACGGGTCAATTAATTATATTGTAAGCATTTTGTATGCGCTCCTTTTTTTCGTACACATTCAACGCCAAACATTTCCGGGCCCGTTCCATTGCGAAACGCAACGTGTCGCATACATTATTTTTGCATTAGGCAAAATCATCAGTCCATATCGTTCCAATTAATATGAATCGTTCAATGAGGTGAAAACGCATAAAAGACATTTTCACCAAGTGGAATTCAATTATGGCAAATCCATCAAATTAGTTACCAGATAAAATTTGTTGATGGACAAATGTCGAGTGCGGCGTGTGTAAAACAGCAAAGCGCTTCGTTCAGCGTGTACGTGTATGGATCTGATAACATTAAAAAGTGATGCAATTTATTAGCGGGAAAAAGCCATCAGAATACACACACACACACACACAAAAACACCCTAATAAAATGATGATGAACTCGTATATTTTCTGGCTGCTGTCACATAATATTCGCATATACTGGGGAACCGTGTGTCGCCAATAGACATTTTATGTGTGTTATCACGATTCACACAAGGTCCTATACTAGACATAATCCGCATAGCGCTCAAATAGATGTCAACCGAGGCGCAATGTTCATGATAGAAGCTGGTCCGTGCATTTGCCTCCAGGCGCAACTCATTTAAAGCTACTCGATTGGAAGAGCCGATCAGAAATCGTTTTTCAAACAAAAACAACGAAAAGTGTATCATCTCAAACGATGAGTACTTTAGCAATACTTAAAAAGTTTCATTGGAAAAAAAATCCGATTTTCCGCGAAAACAGACCGCGAGCGAGAGAGAGAATGAGACTGAAATCGGGGCGATAAAATACCAGAAATAATAGGTTTATGTCGGCAACAAAACAATTCGAAAGCGAAAGAAAGAAAAAAAAATCGAAACACAGCAGACCAAAGACGAATGCAAGGCAAAGTAAAAATAGAATCAATTTTTATTTTCTCTCTCGTTTTTCATAACTGCACACGAAATTTACGGTTGCTTTTGTGCGCACGGCGGGCATGCATAGCAGGCAGAAAGTGTACGGATTTCGATCCGTTGTACTTAATTAATTAAGAAGTATTTTTGTTCGACAACAAACGTTTCAATGGCAGCAAACACACGAATGACGGACTGGGAAAAAAGCGCTGGTCATTCGGGTCGAATGTTGTTGTACTATATGGTGTACACGACAGCACTTGATCTTTTGTATGAGCATTTGAGCCGAAATGTTGTTCGAAAAGGGGCCGAACAAAATTGATTTTACCCATGGGCATAATAAAAATCTCAGTTTGTCTCCGCTTGTCAAATTAACTGAAATACTCTTTGGCTATCGGCTTTTCATCACTTCATGAAAATGAAAATGCCTGTCGTACGTCTTTTTCGCCAATTTGGCTGTTGCTATACGGCGATCTTTTCCCCTTTCTCATTTTGCATTTATGATACTTCATGTGCCCCATTATTATTATTACGTTCGGAGGTATATTCAGGTTTATGAAGAAAGAATGAAAGAATGGAAAAAGAGAAAAACGATCCAAAATTATTGCCCACACTGAAATATGAATAAAAAAGTCGTTTTTTATCTGTGATGAAAAGGAGACGAAAATACGTATATATTGCAAAAGGAACAAAAAAAAATCATGTTTGGCGAATTGTAGACATGGAAAAGTCGCAAAAGTCTGAATTCCATTTTTCTTCTTTTTTTGGTTATTTTGTCATCTTTTCCATTTGCTTGATTTTTTGTGTCCACAAGGGCAGAATTGAAGCAGAATAAAAAAAAAATACACACACATAAACAACGCACAATGTCCGGGCTTCGAAAAGTAGAAAATGAACTAGAAACGGAAAAATAAAAGTGGAAAGAAGATGACAGGACGGAAAGCGAAAAAAATTTATCCATTATTCGACTCTAATGTCACCTTTCTTGAGCCGCACTGGCCTACTATACCATATATCTATACATGCTTTGTGTATATATACGGATGCACAGATGTACACACATGTGCGGTTTACTTTTATCCATATATCCGAATGGTAGGCCACATTGCCTGGGTGATGGCAACTCGAACATTTCCATACACTCGACTATTCAACATACGAGCCAACAACATACATATAGAGATATAGTACATACACACATAGACACGTATATTGAGTGCAGGGTAATGAAAACGCAAAAGAAGAAGAAGAAGAAGAAAATTACGAGAAGAATGTCGAAAAGAGCCCATGCACAGCACTTTATAATCAGCCATATAGCTTGAATTCTTGTGCTCATCATTTTCAGGGAATATATAATTCGTGTGCTCGGCCGTTTTCTCTCCTCCCTCTCTTTTGCTCTCTCCCTTCGTCTCTTCCAAAATCACATTATCTCTATCCTTCTGCTCGTTCGTTGGTTCGTTTGTGCTGTCTGTTTCTATCCATCATGTGCTTATATGTGCTTATATGTGTATATTCAAATTTCTGCTGGAGCGTCGTTCAAAAGCGACTCATCAAATTATGAATGCCGTGAACAATATACATATACGGCATTACACAAGAAGTGCACAATTGAAGCGCGCTCTCCTGTTGTTTTCTCAACCATCCCTTTCTGCACACCAGCCATGCGGTTCATTTCACAATGCGTGTGTATGGCACAGCAGATGAAGACACAGAGATAGAGAGACAGCCAATGACTTGGTCTTTTTTATTTGCTGTGTAAAAGTGCTTTCGAAACTACGGTTCGTTTAAAATGAAGAGAAAGAGAGAGTGTAATCGTCAACATTAGGGCTTCCAATGTGTCTGTATGTTTGTGAAACTGAAAAAAAGTTAAACTTTTCGTCAGCGTTAGCTTTTATGTGCTTTTCGCTTAGCAATCCCACTTGTGTTTGATATGCCATATTGAAGTGTAATACAACCGAAACGTCTTTCTTTCGTCAACTTTGCTCGCAAATATTTCGCATTGTGAAGAAAAAAAACACAACGAAACATTAAGGTTCACACGCAACATGAATAACGTGAGCGCAATGTGTGTTATTCTATAGTTCACATGCAGGGCAAGCATATCATATGTTTCGATTTTTCGTTCAATGAAACTTTTCCCTTTCATTGCGATTAAAGTGGTAGTTTGTCGGTTGGACGGGCAGACAGTTGGTCGGTCGGTTAGTTAAAGTGTAGTGAATGCGCGCCCATCGTCAATGTACACCGTACACATTCATATTTTATAACATTTTACCATCACCCAGCACAACAGCACTCAGACTTCAATATTAATATTCGCCATACATTCGACAATGGCATAAGAATGGAATACAAATAAGCCAAGACAATGGATGGAACAGTCCATCGAAGTTAAGCTTCCATTTTACTATTGTGCCGTTACTTTTGTTTCGATTCTCAACGGTTTTTTCTTTCTTTCTTTTTTCTGCATTTCTGCTTTCATTCTTCTGGTGTTGTGTTTTATTCTTTGCCTACTTCAATGCGAGTTCATTTGCTTCAGTTGTTCGCTAGCTCGCGCGCGTTCCATTTTCGCCGTTTCCATTTATCTTCGCTTGCAATGCTACAATTTTTCACGATGTGCTAGGCACAACTTCGCTCACTTACGCCCTGCCATAAGCATTATCATGTTCGTTTTTGTTGTTTTGACAGCTGCTGCTGCCTCTACCACGGGTATATCGGCATATTTGTTGGCACGATGATATTTTACATTGTGATTTTTGATTAACCTGAATATGCTACTCATTCACCGTATCGCGATACAAAATCCAATTACCTTACACACAAATTTAAATGATGAACACTAAACACCAATAATATCCACACCGAAACACAAACACAAACACACACATACATATATGAACTTATATTAATAACACGGAAAGAGAGGAAAATTGAAAAGACGGTTGGAAGTCCAATCACTTTGCAGTGAAAATTTATTCGTGCGTTTGTTTCTTCAAACCATTCACCCTTTTAGCACAATCCAACCAGCCAGATTCATTCAATTAAATATATGTCATACTACTATAATGATATGCCGCATTGTAAATGCTTGAAATGCCGAAAAGATATCGATTTCATAATCGATGTGTTTTCGGCACGTGAACCAAAAGTGTCACATAAAATTTTCCAGAGTCGTTAAGTTAATCAAAACGTTGAATTCTGAGCACGTTTAATTTACGGTCCATTACATTTTTTTCAATACAGCTTTTTTTTCGCTCTCCATTTCGCTTTTCAATTTTCCTTTTCACTGCGAAGAACAAAGCGAATGGAAAAAAGTTAAAGCAAAAAAAATGAAAATGAAAATGATGAAAAGCTTAATGAACGAAACTTTTTTTTTCTCTCACATCGTTGTCCCTTTTTTCATATCTCATTTTTTCTCTTTCTTTTTTTTGGGTAGATAATTTCACAGGGTCATGAACGATCGATTAAACCAAAAGTGAAGAATCGTGGAGAAAACACGATTCGAAAGCGGAATAAATCGTTTAACGAAATATCAAACGGTGAAATCAATAGGCGACCAACGAACGACATCAAAATTAACGAAGTCCCAACCAAACGAAAGCGGCCCAACGAAGAACACGAGATAAAATCAGACAAAGTGTTCCCGCTACAGGAGTGTGAGTTTTCTGGCTTTCTGCGACCATCGAGTCTGACAGTTATAGCGGCAGCAACAACAACATCGACAACAGCAATCAGCAGCATCACCACCACCATCAGCACAATGGCAACCCCAACAGTTTGTACACGTTTCTCGGATAATTATGATATCAAAGAAGAATTGGGCAAGTAAGTACAACTGTTCACGAACAATAAAATATTGTTTCGACGTTTTTTGCTCGCTCTGTGTGTGTATGTCTGATCGGTTGGTTGATTATACGTTTGCGTACACCTCATCTCCTTCATTCTCATCATCCGAAAATTCATCTTCATTCTCTTCATTTTCTCCGAATGTGTCAGTGCCATTTTGTCTCACTCTCCCGTTCACCCGATAATAATGCTCACGCATTTTCCCATTAACTTTTCCACAAGTTCGTTGTATTCTTTTGTCATTTTGTTTGGCGCTTTCGCTGCTTTGCTTTTGTATGTGCGTTTTTTTTTCGAATGGAAGCGCTAGCATCAGCATCAGCATACATGATTCGTCCTTTTCCCCCCCTGTGAATGCTATTCGCAACAGCTGACTATAGATCAGCGAAAATTGAAAGTACGCATTTCGACAAGCTCTTGATTCAATAAAAATGTGTGTACATGGTACTGTGTGTATGTGTGTTGTAAATGACTTGTCAAGAGCTCTCAATTATTACTTTCCACTGATTCGGCTGCTTTTTTCAATTTTATTCGATATTTTCGCTTTCGTTTCAATGTTCGCCTCAAACTCCCACAATATATCGCTTTCACTGTTCTAAATCATATTATTTCGTTTCTGTGCACGTTTTACTTAATCTTTTATTTTGCTTCTGTTTAACGTCGCTCTTGTGTTGCTGTTATTTTTTTTGGTTGCTGCTGCTGTTATGCATTCGTTTGAGAGAGATACATTTGTGTTTACGTACACTTTTTTACGAGCCAAAAAATTACGATCGCCTTCGTAAACTTTCTTCTTCTTCTTTGCTCAACGCTTTTGTTTATTAACGCCAATTCTCTCTCTTTCTCTCATCTCTCGTCAACCATAATGAAATACGCGAAATAAATAAGCCACTTTTTGTTTATTCTTTCTAATTTATTTTATCATTGACTTTGGCGTGAACTGGCTGTGTGTGAGCGTGCCTCAATATGTTATTCGTTCGTTTGTGTGCTTTTGTATGCGTTTTATTTTGTGGAAGCTGAGCTTGTCCGAACATCAAAGTCCCATCAAATATATATATATATATGTGTGTATTTTTTTTGTCTTCTGTTCGCTCATTCGTTCTGTGTGTTTTAACTAACCAATTTTGCATAACGACTAAAACAAGAACATTATCTGTGTCTTTTCCGTAGAGGAGCATTTTCAATTGTAAAAAGATGTGTACAAAAATCCACTGGCCTAGAATTTGCTGCAAAAATTATAAATACAAAAAAGCTCACCACTAGAGGTAGGGCAACAAAAACCATTAGTTTGTTTACTTACTATACATATAATGGCAATTTCATTTAATGAACGTTGAACGTTGTCTACCTAATATTTGTTGGGTCGGTTTGCCATAATGAAGAGCAAAACAAAACAAAAAATACAAAGAGAGAGACAGAAAAGAACGCTGTATCGATCGAACGGTAAACGTGTTATTTTCTACACCCATGTCATGACAGTCATCAGTCGCCGTCATTGGTTGCTTTGGTCGGTCGATACAATGTTTTTCTTTGTGAATAAAATATAAACAAATTGGCTATTGTTTTTCTTTTCTGAATTGTATAGTCTTTCAAATGAAAAAAATAATATTGAGTGAATTATTTGCTTTCTTTTTGCGTATTCTATCCGTGTATGCGCGTGTGTCTGTGCGTCTTTTTCGCACATCATTATCATCATCATCATCATCGTCGTCATCGTTGGGCGACTGTCTTCGGTGCATTGAAAATGCGAATAAAACACAGATTTCCAAAAGTTGGAGCGAGAAGCGCGAATATGCAGAAAATTGCAGCATCCAAACATTGTACGACTTCATGATAGCATACAAGAAGAGAACTTCCACTATCTTGTATTCGATTTGTAAGTACACTTTCTGCAATAATTCATTTTTCAGTCGTTTGTCTTGTCAACTTATTTCTTTTCCACCCAGTTTATTTGTCTTCTGTTCCTGGGCTGCGTCCAAATGAAAAAGTTTGAAATTAATTTTCTTTCTTTCTATGTTTCTCCGTTTACTTTCTCTATTCCATGGTTGCTTTTTTTCCATCTTCCGTTGTGTGATTTCGTGCGTCATTTTCATCGTATAAAGAGTTACTGGTGGCGAACTGTTTGAAGACATTGTGGCTCGTGAATTTTATTCGGAAGCCGATGCATCGCATTGCATTCAACAGATTCTTGAATCGGTGAACCATTGCCACACAAATGGTGTGGTGCATCGCGATCTAAAGCCCGAAAATCTACTGTTGGCAAGCAAACTGAAGGGTGCCGCTGTTAAATTAGCCGATTTTGGATTAGCCATCGAAGTGATGGGCGATCAACAAGCATGGTTCGGTTTTGCTGGCACGCCCGGCTATCTATCACCGGAGGTATTGAAAAAGGAACCATATGGTCGGGCTGTTGATATTTGGGCATGCGGTGTCATTTTGTACATCCTACTTGTCGGTTATCCACCGTTCTGGGACGAAGATCAGCATCGATTGTATTCACAGATCAAAGCCGGAGCCTACGATGTAAGTTAACCCATACTAATTCGGATTATTCCTTTTACCTTTATCTTTTTGCCATTTATCTTCGACGCATCGTTTATCGTTCAACGAAAAAGCGAAAATAAAAACAAATCATTGTACAAAAAGTCAAAACAAGACAAGACGAACAAGAATGAGAAGGAAAAAAAGCGAAATTGCTTTCTTTTGACTCGGTATCTCTTAATTCATTGTTTGTATTCTGCATGTTTCATAGTATCCATCGCCTGAATGGGACACAGTAACACCGGAAGCAAAGAATCTCATCAATCAAATGCTTACAGTCAATCCATTTAAACGAATTACTGCTGCTGAAGCTCTTAAACACCCATGGATTTATGTAAGCAAGAATGCAAAAATTAATTATGGCTCGTGTTTTATATTGAATAATCGTAATAAATACTCTATGTGGTCTTTTTTCTTCTTCTTCTTCTTCCTTTCTTCCATTTTCGATGAAATCTTTAGCAAAGAGAACGTGTTGCATCTATGGTTCATAGACAAGAAACGGTTGACTGCTTGAAGAAATTCAACGCACGTCGAAAACTTAAGGTGAGTTAGTTTTTTCGAAACATTTTTTCTATGAGGCAAAGAAAGAGACCGAGAGAGAGAGAGAGAGAGAGAGAGAGAGAGAGAGAGAACGAAAATCTTTTGAACGAGCTGACATTTATTGCGCATTTTTATAGGGTGCCATCCTGACAACAATGCTGGTTTCGAGAAATTTCAACAGCAAGAATTTAATGTCGAAAAAGAGCGATGGATCTCAGGTCAAAGAGTCAACAGACTCAAGCGCAACAATGGACGAGGACGATACAAAAGGTTAGAAAATCAGCCGCAACATCGTTGATTTTTTCGTTTTCATACATGTTGTATATTGTTGAAAGCGACATTTAACAAAATCTCGCATTCGCTTTGCATACTCCAAAATATCGACGACAAGCAATCTTATCTTTTTATTTTCCTCAAAATCATTGCATTGTTCCATGGGTACGTGTGTGCGCGCGGTAATCTATTGATAGACGACAAAAAGGGTGGTGTTGACCGTAGCACAACCGTCATTGCCAAAGAACCGGAAGGTAATTTATCTGCTCATCAAATCATGCGTGGTTCATTTTAAGACTGTTCTTTTTTCTGAGTTTCATCATCCAATCTTTTCAGCCGATGTCTGGATTGCATTGCCTGCGAATAAGCCAAGCCATCAATTATCCACAAACTCCCAATGCTCAGGTACATATACCTATACAGCTATTTTTCATACCTAAAACCCATTTGGGTTTCCCTTCACATTTATCCCTGTCAATTATTCTGGATCATCATTTAAATCGTCTTAAATTGTGTATGTTTTTCGTAGCTCGTCGTCAGGAAATTATCAAAATGACCGAACTACTTATTGAGGCTATAAACAATAGCGATTTTGATGCTTACACGTAAGTTCTTGGAAAAATCCATTGCGAACAGAAATTAATTGGGCCAATTCATTGCAGAAAAATATGTGATCCACATTTGACAGCGTTTGAAACGGAAACATTGGGCAATTTGGTTGAAGGCATGGACTTTCATAGGTTTTACTTTGAAAATGGTAAGTTAAATTTACTTAAAAGGTTATCTCATATTTTATTGTTGATACGATTACGGTCGCTATGGCGGTCGGATCAAGTTCAAGTGCCACAATACCGACACACATGCACATTGCACACGCCACTAGATGATGGCCAACCTATTTCATTATTTTCATATGGTGTGTTCGATAAAATTTCGATTGAACATAAACACGACACATATGCATGCAGTTAAACTGTGTATGTGTATGTGTATGGCGTTGCGTGCCTCGGTATTGAACTCTTATATCCAATAAAATAGAATTTTCAACCAACAACAGCAAAAGCAACCAAATTCAGCATATATGTATCTCTGATGAATTTTTCAGTAACAGGGAAAAGTTGCAAAGCCATAAACACTACAATTTTAAATCCACATGTACATTTGCTTGGCGATGATGCCGCCTGTATTGCATACGTTCGATTGACCCAGTATATTGACAAGTGAGTATTGTCCGTTTGCGTGATAATATTTGTTTACAAGTATATGTATGTACATTGTACACTGATAATTGGCCTTCGCTTGCCATTCACAATGTCGATTTTTCTAATTTCTTGTTTCGTTTTTTTTCCAATTTTCTCTACATTTCATTCTTTTGCACTTTTCCGTTTCCAATTTTGATTTCATTCAATGTTATGTCTGTGTGTGATGGCTGAAACATTGGGGGCGCCTATTTTCATCGTGTGCTAAAAATAATCGCGACTTTTTGGATTTGAATTCGGCAACCGAAAATCAAATCTATCGAATGCAATTGTTTATTTTGGTTTTGTTTTGGTTTCGTGTGTGAATCACTTGTGCAGAGACCTACAATCGCATACACATCAATCGGAGGAGACGCGTGTATGGCACAAGCGTGATAATAAATGGCAAAATGTTCATTTTCATCGAAGTACAACTGGACACACAAGTGGCACAACGTCGTTTGGATTTGCTCCCCCACGCAAATAATTGAATGCAATTCATAACAACAACGTCGAATACCCTAGCCACCGTCGCCACAACCAACAACGCTACCACCACCATGATCATCACCAGAACTACTACCACCACCAACCAATACATCAAATTACAAAAAATGACACACTCCAAATCCACTGGGATGTTCAGTTCCAGCTGAGGGATCACTTTGTCGTTGCATTTACTTGAGAAAGAAAAAGAAGAAAGATAAAGAAGCAACAGAAAAAAGAAGAATCTTCAACTAACATAAATTATTATGCCAACTTTCTTACTGAATCGCTGTCTTACAGAATAAAGTGTTAAGATTTTTTCGACTTGTATTCAATCAGCTCGAAGCATATTTTTGAGCATTAAACGATATATTTTTTTTCGAGTGAACTATTTAAAGGAATTTGACTACATTGTAGATTGGTTGAGTACGCAAACCAAAGACAAGCTCGTATTAGAGCCGAAAAAATGACTAAAATATCCATAAAAATGCAACCAACAACAACGTCAATAAGAATCTATTGCTGAGCCGTATGGGAATGCAGATGTTGCTCTTCGGTTATTGGAAAATTGAATGCAATGTCACAGTTTGAAATTGATCGAATGAGAATTTTTGAACGATTTCGTTTGCATCAAAGAGACAACTCCATGAATGTATACTCCCCGTTTTTTTTTAGACATTGATAAAAACGCATTTAATAAGTAATTGAATTTTAGTCACTTAATTTAGCATCATGCAACATTTTGTTGCTGTTGTTGTTCCTTTGATTTTTTTGCTGTTGCTACGAACGGATAGAATTAGATAGATAGTCGCCTATGCACAAATATGTTTTCTGCAATGCAAACGAAGTCGCGATTTACAATGTCCTCAATTCGATAGCCGGTTATTTCGTATTGACACGCCATCGATTTTCGATACCAATCCAGTTAATCGAGCTCATTTTCACACCTCAGCCGTAGAAACATTGCAAATGAAACCACCTAAATGTCTACAAACATAACCTAATCTCTCCTCTCCCCCTTTTATTGATAGATATTGATGAAGAAAGTGCTAAATATTAATCACAAACGGTTTGCATCAGCAAAACAAAATGAAAATGAAAAAAATACCTAAGCAAACAAGTTTTTTTTCTAAAAGAAAAAAAAACGAACTTTTGATGTTATAACCAAAATGAAATATAATCATGACGTAAAATATTCTATTTGTGACGACTACTCTCAAGGTAATTAGACGGATGAAAATCAACAAATCTATTAAACCGCATTAAGTGTAAGCAAAGAACAGTTATTGAAAGAAGAAGAAAAGCAAGAACAACAAAAAAACTTCTAAAAAAACACACTAAACATGAGATTTAAGTGTATAAAATTATGGCTTGTTAGATATAAAAAAAATTGAAATCAGAACGTTTTTTCTAGAACAAGTACTTTCGATGAAATGTTTGTCCTTTTTTCTTTTGTTTGCGGGAAATACGAGATTTCTGTTTTCTCGTAGAATCTTCCTGTAAATATATTATATATAGTTAAATTGAAGAAAACCAAACAAAAAAAGAATCACATACACACATTGAAGATGAAGAAGATGAAGAAGATGATGATGATAAAAGAATAAGAATGGAAAGAGATTTGTGAAAAAGAATGTGTCAGAAATCGGCCCAATTTTCAATGAAACGCATTGCCGCAAGGAATGTCATCAATGCGACTAGTGAAAAATGTTAAAAATAGCCCACTGCTTTGACAAAACTCCTTCCAACAATTTATTATGAGCACATCGCTCACAGACAGACCGACACAGACACATATATATGACTTTGGCGTCTCTCTCTCTTTTCTTTTCGACGCAAAAATTAAAATACGACATCTTCAAACAAGAACAACAACAAAAAAAGCTACGAATTCTTTAACCCAATACATTTTTGAAAGTATGGTATCAAAAAAGAGAAAAAAAAACATTTTTGTCATAGATAAAAAAAGAAACACTACAAAACTTTTGCCTTTCTTGCCTTTTATTGCGTTCTATATTTTATATTCCGTATTCAGCGGAATAATTAATCTCAAGGGAAATCAATTGCTGCTTAAATCGCGCTCACTCAGCAGCACTCTGATTCGATGGAGACTACTTACAATCATACAAATCACAAAAAATTGAGAGAAGAAGAAGAATGAGATTGAACAGAAAGCATTGCTTTGGCTTTGGCTTTGGATACTTAAAAGTAGTTTTGACTCTCGCTTATTTAATTTGGTTTTTAAACATTTGAAAACATAAAAAATGACATCGCTGAATCAACTCACACACACATAGACCGATCAATGTCTTTTCTCAAATGGGTTTCTATTCAAGCCTTTTGCATTTAAGTAGCAAATATGAAAATATTCACTGTTGAAACAATCGTAACATTTATTATTCGATTTATTTAATGGTTTTCTTTTTCCTCTTTTCCTCCCACTCACTCACTCCCAATCATCCAATCCAATATGCAACACTGTATTCTTTTGCCAATAGTTTTGACGAACAAACGGTTGGCCACCGGCCAATGCTTTGTCACCACAAATATGAACATTTAAACAAGTAATAAAACAATTGAACTGTACAATTTTCTCGGTAGATATTTTACAAGAAAAAAATTGAAAAAAAAAACAAAATAAATGATGCAGGTTTAACGGGTTCGAACAAAAAAAAACACTGAATTTAACAAAATAAAAATAAAAAACATCACCTAGTTAGCATTTTATTACTTCATTTTAGTGCGCCATGGACATTTTCCGGCGCAACAAAAAAATTCATACAACCGATTAAATGTTACGCAATTGATGCAAGTTAAAACACTCAATATGACAAACAAAAATCTGCTTTCTATTTGGTTTTTATTCCAGATTTTTCCTTCAGATGGAATTTGTTGATTTTTCCTGACAAATAATAACACACAAAACAACCGCAAACAAAATACCATAAATTATTGAAACATTTGGATGATGGACAACTACTGTATATTTTAGTCTGACAGTCGGTCAAGACCGAAACGAAACACAACTATGTTATAACATATTTAGTGGTATTTAACAGAAATAAAAAACAAATAGTTAAACGAGAAATTGAAAATTGAAACCAACAAACAAAAACACAAACACAAAATAAACAATAAATATGCATCTTTAATGATAGTTCTTTTTGAAATGAGATCGCCATTATTTGGAACATGGAACATTATCTGTACTACAATGAATATATTTGAAATCAATATTTGACATCAGACACAAGCAACAACAATACAAAAGAAGTCTAAATTAACGCTAATTCAATGACAAATTGTATCATTATAAAAATTTAAATTCTATGAATAAAATTTCAACAACTTATATCCCTGGAAGATTTCCCTTAAAAAATTTAGTTACCCAACTTTCATAACATTGCTGCACCAACGTTGTTATCAACGAATTCATTTTCATTTCCTATTGCATGTACGAGAGCAGTATGAAGAGATGAGTGATTAGCTCAAGAGAAAAGTGATTGTGTGTAATTGTGCAGAATGGAGTATTCCACAGAACGATCTACAGGTGGACTATGATTTTATTTGTTCCCATTTTTTCCAGAAATCACTTCATAAAAATTCGTAGCCCTTGAAAAAACACATGTAGTTTAGTTTCGAATAACAGGCTACTGAATTATTCTAAGCGAAACAATGTACAATCCATTGCAAAAAATTAGGTTTTTTCAAGAAGAGTGGCGTATGAAGACGCCAAAAGTGAAATGGCAAACGATTTATAATTTTGGTGATTTTATATTACGTAATTTACGATTGATTGGTATACCCATTTCCCTGCTGTTGTTCTTGCTCTTTACGTCATATGCAATGTTTGGCATTGGACCGATTTATGTTTATTTTTTCAAAAATATGCGTGTGATTCCGCTGGCCACAGATCTACCGTTTATCGATAGTCAATCACATACAGGATTCATATTGAATCTCATTCAGCAAGGTATTCCTACATTCGTCGCAATAATGGGAACATCTGGTATGGAAATTGGGCAAGCCTTGTTAAACGATGTAATTACCACATTTCCCAAGCTCGTACGACTTGATTTAGATGAGCTTGCCGATGAACTTATGGCTGAGGGTATGTCGTTGAAACCAAAGCACGATTGCGCAATGATCTCGTGCGAGTACAAGATTTTGATCGGTAATTATATCATATGATGTGATGCACTGATCAACAACTGTTTAATGCCAAATGGAAACAATTTGTTCTTATTTTACAGCTATGAACTCAAAGTGATTGATTGTCTTTATGTGAAAACGTTTGTGGCCCCATATGCTTATGCGTATTCAATAAGTTTCGCCATTTTTCAACAGCTTATATTTAGTACGATTAATTTGAACTTTGTAGCATATACATGTACTAATCTGTACCTTAACTATCGACTTTCCGGCTGGATTTGCATGCGCGCTGTGCTGTTATGTTCAACTATCGATCATTTGCTACATGGGCAATAATATCAAGGAAGCGAATAAGAGTACTGTCGATGCGTTTTACAATATGCCCTGGTCGAGAAGGTCAAACCTGCAGAGTGAATGGATGGATGGATGGATGGATGGATGGATTTAAAAATTCATCTGTATTGACGGTGAAGTTGCATCAAATATGGTTCACACGACGATGATATCGGTAGTTCAGCGGCGACCAGATAGTTGTCGCTACTAGTATAGAAGAATGAGAGAAGAAAAGAACAAGCAAAAAAAGTAGTAAAAATCTATGGGCGTAAGTATGATATAGACGGTGCTTTTGCACTTATCTGCTGTCGAGTTTCCGCGATTATTTCTCTAATCAATGGATGATCGCATGACGCGTTGAACAAGCCATATTTGATGCAACTTTACCGTCAATAAGGATGAATTTTTACTAAAAATCTATTGGAGATAAGTGCAAACGCACCGTCGATATCATACTTACGCCCATAGATTTTTAGTAAAAATTCATCCTTATTGACAATATTTGCATGGATCAATTTATTTAACCGTGTTTAAAACTAGGGGAATTTAACTCTTACGAGTGCAGCATGTTTTCTGCCAGTTTGCTTGATTCGCGGAAGTTCGACGCGTTCGTTGTACGTACTGACGCGCACCGTCACAAGTTTACACAAGTTTGTTTATGGTTTTGCGCGTTTTTCAAGTTGTTATTTGACAACTAAAACGCGTTTCAAACTGAAAATCGGTTGTTTACGTGTATAAAGATTTTTCACATCCTTTCCAAAAGTTCAAAGATTTATATAATTATAAAATGGACAAAGGAAATATTTTTAAAGAGCTGGAGAAAGTGTTGGAAGAAAAAGTTAATCCAGATATAATAAATGGAACGACTGATGTGTGCGCGTCGTCCAGCTTCATGTTTGCACACGAACTCGCACAAGTTCGCGCATGTTGTTTTAATACGGAACTTGTCAACTGAGTGGAATCATGCAAGTTCTCTGGTGAATGTAACAATTTCGTGCGCGTTTATATCATTTTTTT